GAAGATAAAGAAAAGAAAAGGAAAAAGAAAAATAGAAAAAGTAAAGAAAGGAAGAAAAGGGTAGAGATTAAATAGCTCCTTAATTAATAACTAATAAAAGAAGCTATTTAAGTATAACCCTTAAATACGCTTAAGACCTTACTACTATAGAGGCCGGCTAAAGTAACTAATAACTATACGCTTTAATAACTATTTATTCTTCTTACTATACCTTCCTTCTTCCCTTTTTCTTCTTTCTTTTTTCTTCTTCCTTTTATATATATATATATACTTTATATACTTCCTTACTTATAACGATCTCCTTTACTAATATAACTCTTATATATATATATATAACCCTCTTAGCCTCTTAGCGTTATAACTTAAAACTACTTACCTTAACTATTTAATCTTATCTTCTTCCTCTCTTTTACTTACTCTACCCTTTCCTAAGATATAGCAGCGAACTTAAATAGTATCTTAGGCCTATCTATAGACCTTCCTAAGAATACCGCTATCTTTTTTAGTATATTACTATTTAAGAGTAAGAGCTTTATTTTACTTACTTACTATAGTAAAGTTAAAGTAAAAGGCAATAAAAAACGCTTTTACGCTAAAGATAAAGAAAAGTTTATAAACTAAGACTAACGAGATATTTATAGGTAGAAGTAACTTCCTTAGTATATTTATAAAGATTATTAGTACTTAATATTAATAGGCCTTATTAAATAGTAGGATATTACTTTTAAAGACGCTTAGATAATATATAAGGGCGTTAAAAAGATAAATAAATTTACTAGGAATAAAGCCTACTAAGAAGAGTATATTATTAATATATATAACTTTCTTTATAAAGCTATCGATAAATAATAAGCTATAAGCTTTAGCCTTAGCGTAATAATTAAGATCTTAATAAAAGGTATTAAGAATATAATATACCCCTTACCTTACTTATTATTAGTTTATACTAATTATTAAAGGGAACCTATTAAAGATATAGAAGATAGATATATAAAGTACTATAAATACCTAAATAATAAGGAGTATTTAATTAAGTTTACCGCTCTTACCTTAAACCTTAGTCGCTTTATATATAAATAAAGGTATATAACTAAAGTTATTAACTTTTTAGTAGGAATAAATAAAGGGGGACTCTACTAAGGAGCGTTCCTTTTAGACTATAAGGAAGGAAACTTAGTTATTTTTAATACTTAAAAAGAGGGATAGTATACTAGACTCTATATATTTCTATAAATATAGTAGTAGTCTCTTTAAGGTTAAAGTAATTTTAAAGTAAAGGTATAAGGTAATATAAAAAGCCTTATAAATAAATAAAATCTTATACTAAGACTAGTATTTCTTTAAGCTAAATAAAAAGATAAGTATAAAAGGTTATATTAATAAGCTAATATATAGAATCTAAGCTAGCGTAGTAAACGAACTTAATTATATATAAGTAATATTATAAGGTAGTAGAGTTTCCTAGTAGTTTAATAGCAGGGTTAAATAACTATAAAGGATACTATTTAATTAGGGTTTAAGAACTTTTAGCGGAGTCTTTCTTATAAGGATTCTTAAGTATAAACGGATTTACTAATATAACTATATTATTTTAAGAGATTAAGAAAAATAAGACTTTTAAGAAGTCCTAGAAGTAGTTAACCTTTAAGATAGGCCTAGTAAATAAAAACTACTTCTTTAAAGAGATATAAAACTAGCTTATATAGTAAGGAGAGTAAGAAAAGAGCTAACTACGCTAGCTACCTTTATAAAGTAACCTAACTTAATTACTTAAGCTATATATAGTTTCTTTATAAAACTCCTCCTTAAAAAGACCCTTAACTATTTAATCGCGCTAATAGGAATCGAGAATAAGCCTAGACCTTTATTACCTTAAGTATTAACTAAATTAAGCTCCTTATTTAAACTAAGTAGCTTTTCCTTAAGTAACTTTAAAATAAGATCCCTACCTTAGAATCTATAAAAGAGAGAGCTAAGCGCCCTTACTAGTCTATTTATTTATATAAAAATAATACCTTTATTTTCCCCTTTAAATATATAGCTAATTAAGCTTACTCCTCGCCCGTTACTAATAACTCCTTTAAATATATAAAGGAGTAAAAGACTTATAACTATACCCCCGCTAATAGCTTAATAAGAAGCTAGTAAGGAAGAAAGGTAAATAGTATAGCTACTAACTCGCCCTAGGACTCTAAAATTACTAGGCGCTTAGTTAATTACCTTAAGGCTAAAGACTCTAGTAACGCCTATAGCGCGCCCTATTACTCCCTAGAAACAAAGTATAGTAATAGCCTCTCTAGCTATAGTCCTTATAAGGTTTATACTAAGCTTTAAACCCTATTAAGTTAAAGGAGTTAAAAACCTAGGAATATATTAAAACTACTACTAGGATATTAATAACTATAATTCTATATATTTATATAAGACTATTAGTAACGTAATAATAATTAGTTTATAAGACTTTATAGCTTATTTAATTTAGCTATACTTAAAGCTATAAACTAATAAAGACGCTAACTACTTTATTTTCTTAACGCCCCTAAGAATAATAAGCGCGAATACTTAGGAGTATATATAAGAGGTAGTAGATAATTATTTAAAGAAGGAAGTATATAAGTAAAGATAAGAAAGAGCTAAATAAATAGCTTATAGGTAAAGGGAGGAATAAATAATATAAAGGGAAGGGATTATAGTAAAGGAGAAAAGTTCTAATAATAGTTTATTTACTTACTTATATACTTAGGAAGAGAGCCTTACTTATTATTATCGCGCCCTTTTTATTAGTATCTTAGGTTAGAAAGTCGCTAAGGAGTTTAATAAGTAAGATTATACCCTTATAAATATTAGCTTATTAAAAGGATAAGACCCTTAGCACTCCCTATCTAACTTACTTCTAAGTATACTTAAACGCTTTATAAAGACCTTAATTATTTAATAAGGTATCTTTATTATAAAAACGATATAGCTACCTATTAAATATAAGCGATATCGCTAATTAACGTATATAGAGTACGCGATATATCCCCTTAAAGATACTAGGTTAATTCGTCTTAGGATACCTAGATATCCTAGACTATAGAGGGAGTTTTTATATAGGCAGGCCCTATACTAATACCGCGTAATTGCTCTAATAAGACTTAAACCTTAGGCCTTTTAAGTAGTATATACTAAGCTAGCTAAAAGAAGTATATATATAGTTACTAAGAAGTTCTTAAAGAGGTAACCCCTCCGCCTAGGCTTATAACTATTACGAAAAAGATATAGCAGCCTATTAGATATAAGCGATAGCGTTAATTAATATATATAAAGTACGCGATAATCTTCCTTAATTATAATTAATTTAAATTTTATTTTTCCCCCTTTAAAGTAAAGGCTATTAGTTATGCGACTTTAGTAAAGATAAAGAGGTATAAAGTAAAGAAATCTCTAAGACTTATATTAATAACTTAAGACCCTTAAAGCTATATATAAGACCGATAATTAGATAATTATATAGTTAATTACTTTATTAATCCTTAGCTATATACTACGCGTACTTTAAGTATATACCTTTATCCTTATTAAAATACCCTTTCTTTTTAGCTAAGTAGCTTATAATAGTATAAATAGTAAAGATAAAACTACTTTTTACCTTAAATAATAAAGAGGACTTTATACCCTTAAGTATAAAGGAAAAAAAATAGCTTTAAAGTAAAGATAGGCCTTAAAGCCTTAATCGCTAATACTAGTAAAAAAGAAAAAGAAATTATCTACTTATATAAAAGAAAGCTTACTTTAATATAAGTTATATTTAATAACTCTTTACTTATCGCTACCCTTATAAATAAGGGCTACTAATACTATACTATAGTTAATAAGGTACTTATATAAAAAATATAAGTACTAGTAAAAAGGATTACTTTAAAGTAAGTAAAGGGCGCTTTAAGCGTAATAAAAAGTATAAAGATTAAGGGTATTATATAGCTAGCTATAAAGGTTAATAGGTATTATTACCGCGAAGTATAGCTTAATTTTATAGTTTTTAAAGATATCCCTTAGTATAAAGGACTAAGGAAGCTAAAAATACTTAGTATAGAAAAAGGAAAAAGGAGCTAAAAAGAAGTATAAAAAGGAAGATAGGGGTATAAAAGGAAGTATAAGTAGCGATAGCTTCTTATAAAGGTAGTAAGAAATAAGATAGATATACTAGTAATAGCTAAAAAGGAGGGGAAAAACTAGTAAAAAGCTTAGTAGTTAAAAGTATATAAATAGCTTCTTTAAGTAGGATCTTCTTTATTAATTAAGATACTAAATAAGTATAAATAAGGGCGTTAAATAAAGGAAAAAAGGATAATTAAGGAAATATAATAATTACTCCCTTACCTTAATTACTACCCTTATAAGAATTAAATAGCTTAGCCCTACTTATTTATTCTTTTACTTTTACTTTTACCTTTATATATTTTTTATATATTTTTTATATCTCTTTATATAAGAGTTATAAGCTTAAGAGGAATAGTATTCTTATACCCCTTTAGCTACTATAAAAGGCACCTTTCTTATATCTTTTATAGCTTCCTTTTACCCCTCTTACTAAAAAAGCCGATTTTTACTTAACTTTTCTACCCTTCCTTATAATAATAATAAAAACCGACTCCTTTTGATGCATTTTGCATATGGATGAGATGAAGTGGGATCGTTGTTTCTCCAACTAAGCTATGACTGCCTCATCCTTATGTAGGAGGCAGCCAGGTCGGACTATCTAGGCGATCCGGCCGGTTTACAAGGCAGCCACATACCGATGCCTGTTCACACGGCTGCCTGTTTCACACGGCTGCCTGTTTCACACGGCTGCCTGTTCACACGGCTGCCTGTTCACATGGCTGTGCGTGCGGCAGCCGGTGTCCTTGATGCTTGGTGCCGTGCCCAACGCTCCAGTGTGCGTAGGGACACGCAAAACGCATCATAATGCCGGCCTCAAAAGAAAACTCCACTGTCCTCAGTGACTGCCTCAACAAAGGCTACATGTCAGAACTTTCCGATCGTCCCTTTGCTTTGCTGTTGCGAACCACTCGCGGTCCCGTCGTCTGCCCGTGGAACTCATCCAGGGCCTTTGACGATATCTCTTCCTTCCTGACCCACTGATCATGCATGCTGCCCCATCCTTTCCAGTGGACCAAGTACTCCGTGACGGGCTTCCTGTTTCTTCCAATCTTCCTGACCCGTACGTCCAGAAGCTTGTCAACTTCGTAGAATTCGCCTTCCTGGTCCGTAAAGTCCTTTGTGACTTCTACTGGTCCGGGGTGAGCTTCTTCAAAGCAGCCTTCGTGAGCTGGCTTGAGGTGGTGTATTGAGATCACTGGGTGGACCTTAATTTGCTCTGGAAGGTCCAATTCACAGGCCAGGTCTCCAACCATCCTTCTGATCACAAAGGGGCCTTCCCGCTGTTGTGACCACTTCTTGGGTGGCCTGCCTGGCTGGTGATATCCCTGATGAAGCTTGAGATATACCTTGTCTCCAGCCTTGAGATGGATAGGTCGGTGTTTGGCATCGTACCAACGCTTGGCCTTCATCGCTGCAAGGTCCATAGCTAGGCTGGCCTGCTTACGCAAGGCTTCCTTGATGTAGGGCAATTCGTCTGCCTCTGCGCTGGCTGTGCGATCAACAGCCTCCAGGGGCCCTTTCAGGGGGAAACCGTACATTAGTTCATGGGCTGAGGTCTTCGTGCTGGTGTTGTAGGCTGTGTTTAGATGCCACTGCAGCGAAGGAATAAGGGTCTTCCAGTCAAGGTTGGGGTCCTCAATATAGGCCAGTCGCAACGCTGTTTCCACTGTTTGATTGCGCCGCTCGGCCAAGCCGTCCGCCTGCGGATGATATGCCGTTGTCATGCTGATTCTGGTGCCAAAGGCCTTCCAGAGCCCTTGCCAGAAAGCAGAGGTGAATTTGCGGTCTCTGTCACTGACTATCGTGCGCGGCATGCCCCAATCACATAGCATGAGCTGCCTAGCTAGGGAGGCTGCCCAGTCCTTGGCGCTATACTTTGCATTGCCTGGAATCAGTAGGCATCGCTTGCTAGCTAAGCAAGTGACTGTAAGTAATTGATTAAAGGCATTAAAGCCTTCAATATGCCAGGGTGAGCCCATAGCTGAGACGGCAGGCATGTCTGTGATGAAGTCCATTGCAATTGACTGCATTGGAAGCATCGGGGGTCGATTGGGCAGATAGCTTCCAGCAAGCTGTTGTCGATCAGTCTGTCCAAGGCAGCAAGCTTTGCACTTGGCGATGTGCTTTTCGCTTGCCAAGAGACGTTCCTGATCGAATAGGTTTCAACTCCTTGAGCATTCTCACAACGCCAAAGTGGTGCTTGTCGTCGTGTGCCATTTGCATCAATTCGTGCGTGAGGCTTGCGGGCACGCAGAGACGAACATATCCATCTTTTCCTTCGTGATATAACAGACCCTGGTCCACGAAAAGGAATTCCTCTGCGCTTGATTTTCGCGATTTCCGGGGCCCTAGAAGCTTTGACCGTGTTCTCACTGTCCTGGATCATTTGAAGGATCTTGCGATAATGGGTATCAGCCTGATAGCCTTCTGTGAATTTGATGCGGTATGCTGGATCCATGATGGCCTCAGACGCAAGGAGCACATCGTCAAGCGCTGTGTAGTCAGGTCGTTGTCGCTCGATCAATTGGTCGGTCTCAGGGGCTGACAGCCTGCTTAAGGCATCAGGGATGAAATTGATTTTCCTGGAAGATGATCAACCTGCAATTCGTACTGAGAGAGATAGATGGAGGCTACTACTAGCCGTCTATTTGCTCTGTCCGTGCTTGAAGTGTCGAGGGAGGTCTTATTGACGATCTGCTGTGTGGCTGAATGGTCCGTAAGCACGATTAAGGGCTTCGTTGACGATTGGACCACTGTGCGCATCTTTTTGATAGCCCAGACTAGGCAGGCCACTTCTAATTCCGACGGACCATATGATCTCTCTGCGTTGGTGAGGTGCGGCTGAGAAAAGCTATAGGTTGCATCGCTGTTGAGGAAATAGCTTGGCCAGGCTTCCATTCGTAACCTTCTTTAAGGTGGAAGTAGGTACAGGCAAATCCTCGTTGCAAGGACCCGTCAACTTGACAGAACAGTTGCCTGCTTGGGTCCATATGGTGGATCATCCTGCCGGAGGCTACTTCCTTTTGGATAGCTTCAAATGCCAACCGCTCCTTTTCACTAGGCTCGAATTTGGTGTTCCTCGCAAAGGCACGGCGTTTGTTGATGTTACCTTGCTGAATTTTGCCAATTTCTCGTCCTTGGGCTAGTAATTGAGTTTTCCGGTGCTGCAATGGCTCAATGAGGGCTCCATAATACGGTAAGAGATGCCGTAGGTAGCCTGTTGCTCCAATGTAGCTTTCCAACGCAGATAGCTGGTCTGGAAATTCCAGCTTTGCAAAGGCTGCCAGCCTGTGTTCCGTTGTGCTCATTCCAAAGGCATCAACGCGGAAGCCAAGGAGTTGCACAGAGGATACCCAATCCAGCTTTTCTTTGGCGACATCGTGAGGTTAAAACGCTCGAATAGCTGGAAGATCTTGCTAAGGTGCTGTAAGTGCTCCTTTTCCGTTTTCGAATAGATCACAACGTCGTCCATAAACGCTCTGCAAAACCCTTATATGGTCGAAGCACTCGATCCATATAGCGCTGGGCGTAGGCCGGGCTATTGCAGAAGCCAATTGGTGCAACAGTCAGTCTTTCCAGTCCTCTATGGCTCGTGAGGGTAAAACGATCACGATGTTCGAGTTTGACTCGGAATTGGTGGTAAAGGACGATGCGTCGATTGCTGTGATGTACTGTGCGCCTCGAAGCTCTTGGATGATGTCTTCTTGCAATGGCAAGGGATAGCTGTCTGGCATGGTGACCTTATTAAGAGCTCGCAAATCGATGACGACCCTGCCCTTGGTTTCTCCTCGGGCTGTTCGCCACACAACGAAGACGGGGCTGCAAAGGGTTGGTCCGTGCACGTATTCCATACGTCCTTGTGCGTGGAGCTTGTCATGGGTTTCATCAATGACCTGTTTGTCTCGTAATCCCTGAGGATAGGGCGTTGAGCCACCTTGTGCGTGTGCCAATCCTTGATAAGGGAACTGTGAGCTCGTGGCCTGCTTCGACTTCAGCTGTGCCCGAGTCTTTCCATAGTTTGGCGTGTTTTTCAACAAGGGCTTTGATCTTGGTCACGAAGCTGCCTTTCTGCGCATAGATGTGAATTCCGTCGTCAGTGCACACCTCTGGGAGCTCTGGCGTGCGTTGAACGTGCGTTTGATACGGAATTCGGGTCTCAGGGGCAAGGTCAGGAGTATCGGCTGTTGCTGCTGCACTCAGCTGGGTGCTTGTGACGTGGAGCTCCTTTCTTGTTGTTGACCAAGGCTGGCTGTCGTTGCTGGCTGCTGTTGTGTATGCGTACAAAGCTTCTGATAAGCTTGAAACTGATTCTGCGGTTGCTGCTAGAACAGGGCTTCCTCCGGGGTGAAAGTCCCGTCAGCTATTGCGATAACATCGTCTGAGAGGTGGAAGGTGCTATTGATAGCAAGATCATACGATGTATGGCTCTGGGGAGCGCTTTCAATCGTCATTGCAGAAGTTGTTGGGGCCAAGGCCGCTGTGGCTATTGTCAAAGCTGTCAGAGCTGATTTCCATGAGGCTGCAGCGAAGTAGCCCGATTCCTCGCATTCTTTGATCTGCCCTAGGCGCTGTTTGCGGTTCACGATGATATCTTGGTTCGTAGTGTTCGTGAACATGACCGCTGGGACAGTGTTTCGGTCAACGAGCATGAGCGGCCAAGGGATGATTGGAATGAAAAGCGAAGGAACGGCCTTTAGGGACTTCCTTCCAGCTAGCTGGGACTAGCATTGTCTTGCCTGCCGGGACCATGGTTTTCTGACGGCCTGAACGCGTCGGACTACCCTTTATGAGGCTTATAGATGTTAAAGGGATACCGAAGTCGTCAAGGAGGCCTATTTGAACGACTTCCTTGTCGTAGTGGATGTTTCAACATACGGCTTGAGGAAGGCATTGCCTAGCAAGGCTCCTGGTTCCACGGTAGTCACCCAAGCGGAACTGGTGAATTTAGCTATGCCGGCGCTGCTACCGTCAGCCCTCTTTCCTTCTGCATAGAAGGAGAACGTGGCCCAGTCTGTGCAGCGGACACTGCCGCTGATGCCTGCAATTGGCGTTGGAGGCTTCTTCTCAATGGTGTGCTCGAAGCTCTTGAGAAGCTTTCTGTCAATCAGGGGTTGCCACACCGGAATCCGCACAGACCTCGGTCTCTGGTCCTGTGGAGCTGCCTTGATCTTGATGCGAAGATATGAGTAGCCGAAAGGGGCATCGTGCGATGGCGGCTCGAGCGGTTGTGGCTCGAGGATTTCCTGCGATAGCGCTCGCGATTGTTTCCCAAAATACTGGGCTTTTTGGGAGGAATTGGATTGTGCTGCTCTACGGCTTTATATGCCTCTCCATTTGAGTGGGCCTTGGGCTGTGACACGCAGCCAGGAAGGTGCCTGAAGAGTGCATTGCGTGAGGGAAATTGGGCGTAGCATTTCCCACATAACGAAGGTCTTGCTGGGGTCGCCTCCTGCTGGAGCTGTTGAGCAGACACACAGCAGCGTGCTTGTGTGTGCTCAAATAACACACTGCGGGAGGAACTTGCGGTTACACTTTCGGCATTGGTGGTTTCCTTGTTGGCCAAGATTCTCAGGAGTTGAGGTCATACAGACGTAGTATTCCTCGATAGAAGCGTCTGATCCTACATCACTGGCTTCATCGTCGTCGGAAATGGCGGTTTTCTTGTTGTCTGAAGCATCTTGCTTGTTTTCGTCCTCGCTGGCAAGGTAATTTTTCTCAAAGCGGACCTTTTCTCATAGCCGCCGCTTCGCTCATTGCGCTGAGGATCTTTGGGGCGGTTCTCTCGCCTTCCTTGGCCCGTGAGTCGCTGCTGGGGTTGCTGCGGTCTCTGCGGTCAAGGCCTCGATCGCGTTGGTAGTGATCTCGCTGATAGCTGCGGTCGCGGTCGCGGCTATCGTTCCTAAAGCTGCGATCACGATCACTACTACGATCACGACTTTGGTAGTTGCGGTCACGGTCACGGCCTTGGGGGCGTTCATCGTATCTGCCGCGAAATTCCAATGCCGCGGAGATCAGGGGTCGGCGTTCCTCGATTTCTCGTACCCACTTGTCAATTGGCGTGCGTTTAGTGGGCACAGAGAGGTGAGTAGCGATTTGGACCGCAATCAAGGGGTGGATGCTTTGGATGATTTGGTAGTCCTTTTCGATGTTGATTTGCCTTGCTAGGGAGACTTTCCGTTGAATCCATTGAGGCAAGGAGACTTCACCAGCATTCCACATTGACACGGTATACGGAATGCCGTGTAATTCCTTGAGACCTCTGCTGCTGGGCGTTGGAATCGCTTGATGAGCATTTTACAGAAACGCTCTACTGATGACTTCATAAGGCGATCCTTCTGCTCGATGGAAAGTTCATTCATGAACCACTGTAGAGCTCCGCCGGCAAGGAAAGACATATAGTGCTGCGACAAGGCGTAGGAGTCGAGATCCTTGTACATTCGCAGGCGCTCGCAGAAGAGGTATACATCCGTGTACACATTGCTGCCGCTTGAGAGGGACACAAGGCCTTGTTTATGAGGATCCTTGTGATTGGGGTTGAAAACACCCATGTTGTCACGTTTGAGCCTCTTGGCAACAGCTTCCACATCACTAGAGGTTTGAAAGGTCTGTGTGGTAGGGAGAGAGGCGCTCCGGCGGCTGTGAGCGTATCCAATGCCAATGCTGCTTCCAGAGCTGCTGCTGCTGGAAGAAGAAGATTCCAGTCGCTTGAATCATCTAGTCGTAG